AAGTGTATTTGTTCTTTAATAGTGTAAGGTTTCTTTGACGGTTGTTAGTTTTACACATTTTATAGCTTTCTGGTTAACTTTGTGTGTGTTTCAATGTTTCAACTTAACCAACAAGTAACATTTCTTCAGTTTCAGCTTTACGACCGACGTCGCCGTGTGCTGTCCGCCCACACGAGTCCCCGTGTTAACACTAAATGGACACTCTGAAACTGATGTGGGCATAATTCCAAGAAGTGAAGTTCCCCCCTTCCCAAGGAGAAAGGTGATACTTAGATCAGTCATGCTGTCTCATTTGGGGAATGTTACAACCTCCACGTGACCCAGAATTGACGTTAGTTTTGACGGAATTCAATCAATGTTCTGTTTAAATACAAATAGTATCAACACTGAATTGTCTTGACAGTTGCATTACTATCTTCCTGTTTCATTTTTCTATGAACGAAACACTTGCTGAATATATCATGAAACTTCAAGTGGTCAAGGAGAAAGGTGATTTTAATGTGCACAATGTGGAAATCTAGTGTCTGCCGCCAAGACCAGGCCCCGATTTCTCGAAACAAACTTAAGTCTGAGTTTTGACTTAAGTTAGAGTTTTGACTCATATTTGAGAAAACGCACGGAAATGCCTTTCCCAGAATGAATTGAAATCGATATCACACTCAAACATAGTAGACAATTTGAGTTTGGTAGATAGATTACTTAAGCTTTTTTGGGATTATTTCTTTAAAAAATGCAGTAGAGTTAAAAATTCAGCTGTTTCAAACTGTCAAAGATTTGAGTAAAAACTAAGTTTGTTTCGAGAAATCGGGGCCTGGTGTCTCCAGAGTAGTGTTTGATCGAGTAGACATCGATTAGACTTGAATTTAACGACATATCACATTGTAGTCTGGATAGGGAATGAATGGGGATATTCTGAGTTCGTTGTCATAAATAACCCACTGATTACGGACCCACAATGGCTAATGAGTCATCATATTTCCAGTGCATCTATTAATATCTGCATTGTCATTTGAAATATATAGCCATATAGTTTGAGCATCTGCGGACAAGAAATCAGCAGTATAAAATTTCATTGACTGGCAGGGAGATTCGCAAATCACCGTGGACATCCACGCTCATCATGACCAGGGCCTAGATTTTCGAAGCTCTCTTAGCGCTAAGATAGTCGTAAGTGCCATACATTAACATTAACTTACGACTATCTTAGCGCTAAGAGAGCTTCGAAAATCTAGGCCCTGGAGTCTGCGGCCAGAACAATGGTATTATGATGTCGTAAAACTGGAACAGCTTATAAGATCGTATCGTTGGTGAAGCCCCATTGCATTCTCACTAGGCCAATAAAGACTTAATACATTTTTAAACAGTCGGAAGTTTCAAAAGACTATCTTGAATGTCTTATCCTGGCCAGGTACAGATAGCATGTTGTCACTGACGATCTAACCCATGGAGACCAAATGATGTGAAAGGTTTAAACCAAGTACAACGAAGACCTTAATGAGTGTATCATACATCATTGTAATTGTAGTCTCTAAGTTTAAGGCGGTGGTGTAGCATTCTGGTTAAAGCGTTCATCACGCCGAAGACCCGGGTTCGATTCCCCACATGGGTACAATGTGTGAAGCCCATTTCTGGTGATATTGTTGGAATATTGCTAAAGGTGGCGTTAAACTAAACTCACTCACTCTAAGTTTAAGGACAACAGGAGCATTTCACGCCACAAAGGGAACATGGTTGCATATAGCAACCGTTTCGATGTATATTCTTACACTTTAACAAACAATCGATCTTGCCCTCCCATCCACCTGTCCAGATGTGTACTTTTGCACATCTAAAAGTCGCCACATACAATAACCCATAAGTTGTTTTCCATACATTTGTATGTTTTCGAATTTATTCACCGCAATATTTCCAAATGGCGCTGGATTGGAGGCGGACGTTCGATAACCATGCCTGCGGACACAGGTCCGAATTGGAGGCGGACATTCGTCGACATTGAGTCTGATGTTCACATACTGTCAACGTTCAACTATCAGACGTGTGGAGACGTGTACGTCAGCAGATGCACAGACAGCTTGATATTACCTTCCCACAGGGCTCAGTGTTATATAATCTTAACAAATTTCGATATTTTTTTTTAAAAGAAAAACTGCAAATGACAGCTGAAATAAAGGTCCACGTCATCAACTTTCATGCATATTAAAACCCCCGTGAGAGCTTTGTGGTAGATATTTTGCAGTTTCTGAAACCTTTCCATTTGAATAATGGAATGGTAACTTCACTTTACGTATATAGACTAAAACTTGACACTGACTGCTGAAGTTGAAACACACCTTTAATACAAGGAAATGGATACTTTACGCTTGGGTAAAAGCATTGTCATACGCTCTCACACTGTTGAAAGCGGTGTCGCTTCTAGTACATGTCTATTACATTACCTATGGTTATGATGTTAAAATACTGTCATCACTTAGAAGTTGTCACATTCTTTCGTAATCAAAACTATAAATCACAAAGGAAATTATGTTATCATCCAGAACTGGTTTACCCGAGAAATATTGCACAATGAATTTCATCAATATCATTTAATGATATCCCTACTCTCTCTCTGTCGCCGACAGAAGCGTCGGTGTCTAATACACAACAGGCACTTGTCCACACTTTCTGAAAGAAATATAGTATCTTATTTATGTTTTAAAATTATGCTTTCCTGTGTATGTGCACATAGGCATTCCTGCGACCTATGAGTCATTTAAAGAGTTTGTTGCTCGTAATACAGATACCACTGACTTAATTTGCGAAGAAAACACACAATTGAGACACATGAAATAATTTTGTTCTAAGTCTCGACTGAAGACTCGTCAAATGTGACTTTCCCATACAGAATGCTCTTCAATGACTCTCTCTTATCATGTCTTTCATCTAGCCAAATATTTGGACTCAACACTTGCTCACATAAATGCTGTTTCTAATTTGAAGATTTCGGAGTTTAGTTCCTGAACATCTGAACTAACACTAATGAAACAGATGGAAAGCAACAAGTGAACCTTATCAAACGACATCTAAACTAATTACCAACTACGATAAATTTACATTGAAAACGAATTTTACAACCTGTTTTTTGTGTGCAATTAACGATAAGTGTCAGTAACACCACCTATATGTATACAGTTTGGTACTTGTATACCAAGACCTCGCTACGGCCATAATAATTGGGCACATCATAACCCCCACTCTCCAAAGTCTACACTCTCCAGATTGACTGGAGTATCAACTCGTTCATTAACAAGGTCGAAGGGTTCCGTCCTAGCATCTTCATGTAACACAAACACAATCAGCATGCTTCGCCGGTGGGGTTCAGTTTTACTCCTCAGTCACGTCATCTCACGTGTTTGTTATTTTCCAAACAAATTGATTTGGGTTTTTGACTTTGCTCACCCATACGCATCGTACACATCGGGGATACTACATAAACTTCACCAGGCTGGGTATATATGTGATTTTAAAGTGTATTCGAGTCTTTGTTAATTGTCGGGATAATTCTTAAAGCTGAAAAAATGCTTTGGCATGTGTCTCTCCTATTCACTTTTGAATGTCTGCAAATAGATTTTGTATTTTCTGACGAGCATTCAACATACCTAAAGAAAGAGAGATAATTGTGCCCACGGAAAGGAGATAATTTGTCACAGGAGATAATCTATAATACGATATTTACAATAAAGGGAGCTGATCGCGCTAAGCATCTGAGAAACGACAATAATTTGAACAAGATGGATGCATCGTTTGTATTCTGCCTTGCTGTTCCTACTTACCTAAGTAAGAGGGTCTTTCAATACAACAATCGGTACACGATTCATTCAAAATATAATATTTGGTTTAAGAATGAATAAAGTTCTCTTCCATCACTATTACTGGTATATCTTCAATGCCATGAACTTACTCCAGTTCACACTACTCACACCTGATGACGCCCGATAACAAGTTGTATCAACACTGATCACATGAGGTCATAAAGTGGGAGAAAAACATCTTCTAGGGTCGAGATAGACGGCTACACACTGCTACACACAAGTGAAAAGCACTTACAAAATCACATTTTGACACAACGTGACGATTTCTGTCAAGTCTCTCAGCGGCGTGGGTAAGGATGCTTCTGTGAGCATTTGCAGAAATATTAGAGTGAATTATTGATCCTTATTGAACCCACCCTTGCAAAACAAGCTATTTTCGCCTGTGTTTGGCGGCGTGTCTGTGACGAAACCCTTCAACCGTGTTAGTGAAATATCCATTAATCTACATACGATTGCTAAATATGCAGGAATAACAACGTTAACCAAAATATTAGGGCTCTCCAGAATATTGGCATGGGGGGTTGGACGTCAGCATTTACCAGAGACGTAGCTGGGACTTGAGACATGCGTAGATGAACCAGATTGTGTATCATAAATACAAGGGTGTGTGTGTGTGTGTGTGGTACTTCACATGTACCACTTGCTTGATAACGACATAAGAATCTATGTCGAAACGTCGCCTATATAGAATATAGAAGTTGTATCCCCATAAAAATAGTCCTCATTCTTCATCTACCTAACCTAAAAAACAAATAAACTTTGTTTTTTTGTACTCTTAAAACAATTACATATGAAAGATTTGTGGTGAGTCTTATGCGGAACACCAAATTCGGTGTATTCCCATACTGCCTACAGGTTAAAACAACATGATACGGTCCAGTGATCAGGAAGTGAATACAACGATCTGACCTGTTCTACCCCTGCTAAAATGAACTTGACTAGTTAGCTGGTTAATTCTATGTCGTCTTCCCATTCTGCCTACAGAAGTTTAAAAACATGACAAGTGTTGGTTGGTAGGACATCTTTATTCATTCTGAGAATTCTCAGACTTTACATGGAGACATGGATTTATCATGAAAAACTGACAGGTTTTACAGTCTTTCAGTGGTTTTACAGTCTTTTACTTGTCTCACAATTACACACAACTGACAATCACTTGATGAGATGTCCAGCAGCATCAAGGTACTGAAGAGGCGTTTTTCTGCCGCTCTGGAGGTGCTTCTTCAGTCTCAGAAGTCTCGCATCGTACTCTGTGTAACCACGCTTGCGTGACTTGGGGAGGGCACCACAGTCGAGCTGAGCACGTTTAGCTTTGTCTACGGCTTCGATTTTCTTGATGTTGCAGATGAAGAGGTAGATGTTTGGGTGGGCTTTGGCAATACGGTTTTTCAGCTTCAGGTGCCACCCCTCAAGGTGGTTGTTAGTCCGCGGGCCAATATTTCCATACTGCGTCCAGATCCGAACCGGAAAACGTGCCTCATAGTCCACCCATGTACTCGTGACCTAGTCGTTGAAGTTCCTGACCTTCTCTGTCTCCGGGCCTTCGTCCATGGCAGCGATCCAAATGTCCTGCACCATGTCCCGTGGAAGTAGTGGAAGGGCAGCTGCAGTTTGGGATGTAGGCAGTTTGGAACTGTAGGCAGTATGGGACCTAACCCCAAATTCATTCTTTAAAAACTTGTGGTTAATTAATACCGAGCGATTTAAAGTTGTCAAAAAGTCGCCTGTTTCACTCGCGCCCGCCAACGAAACCACAGACAGGTTACGTAACTCTGTCGCCAGAGCACTGCAGTGACGTCATGTGAGGAAGGATTTTCAGTTAGCTGTATATAAGGTGTGTAGCACGCTCGTCATTTTAATGATTTCTCGACATCAACGAAGACATGCCGAATCGTTGCGTTGTCGTCAATTGCTCCTAGGGGTCGGGCGATGGTGTCACCATGCACAGATTTCCACAGGACCCAGCAGTTCGTGCTAAATGGGTTATGTTTGTGAGTGCGAAGCGAGCGTTGTGGAAGCCTGAAACGATATCTTACTTGTGTTCAGATCGCTTCACGGAAGTTAAAGAATCAAAACTACTTACTAGTTGTAGTAAAATATGTATATGATTGATGACCATAAAGATTTTCCATGACACAACTTGTAACATAACGATTTCTTCCTCGGAAGCGAGGTTGTGGTCGAAGTAACAATAATATTGTAAGTAGTATTATATTGACACCCACCTCGCTTCCACGAGAGAAATTGTTATGTTATAAGCTATGTCATGCAAAATCCTACTGGCCATCAATCAAATACATATTTTACTACCAGTAGAAAGAAGTTTTAATTTTGTAACTCGGTGAAAACAAACCTAAATAGCAATTATCCTCAGACTGGCGGATGTTCGCGACAGGGCGCCGCCATTTTTGAAAATCGTAAAGTCACGGGCTAAAGCTGTTAGAATTAATGAGATTATGGTTTGTTTTCATCAAGTTCATCTACTCGTAGTTAAATATGTATTTGAATCATGACCAAAAGGATTTTGCATGACACAACTTGTAACATAACGATTTCCTCCACGGAAGCGAGGTGGGGTCGAAGTGACAATACTACCCGATAAATTTCTTGCTACATTCACGTGGTTAAGTCCACTCACCAGTATGTAGATACTAGTCAATGTACGTCTTTATATTTGGTCTTATAATCCTAATTAGTTTATTATCATACTTGTATGCATTTTGAAACTTAATAAAAAGCAGGCGATCTGCTGATACTTATAGTGAATTTATAACAGGACTGTAATATCTAGACATTTTATAGTTTGCCAATGTGAATCATAATTCGCACACACGCCCTAGTGTATGTTGTCTGTCGCATTACACTTCACGGTGAAAACAATGATTCTGTTGAATGCTACGCCGCGACAAATGAATAAAAACAAAATGCAAATATTACAATTAAAACAGATTGAAGTTATAGGAACAATGTCAGGCTATTACCTTGTTCGAGGAATGTATCCATCAATATCCACAAAAATGAGTGATATGCCATTCATCTGCAGCTGTTCCAAGAGATGTGTCTTTTAACAGTCTAATATACGAAAAAGTGATATATCGTTTCAGGTACATGTATTTCACATTGGTGTATAGTCTCATTGGTCACCCAAGATAGCACACCTGGCAACTAATTGCATAATGTCCACCATTCTTTAAAAAAAAGGTAATTTAGTTAGCCAATAATGAGCAATCAATCAATGTATTGGCGATTAATCCTTTGAAAGAAGGACGTTGTTTTTACACAGACACGACAGAGTGTATTCAGTATAGATTAGTAAATCTACATACATAAACACTACCTTTTGACAAATCCGCTGTGCAAGATAAAAATAATTAATCAATCAGCATGTTATCGGTTAATCCTTTGATCGATGTTTATAATGTAATTACTCCAGACACAAGAAATGCCAAATGGGAACCTTTGTCGAGTAATCTAAGTGGAGTTATTATACCTGTCATTAACTGACCATCAAGTGAATGATGACAAATAACATGTATAGGTTTATACCACCTAACACGGGTTACAACAAGGGAGTATTAATTGCTGTATTGCATGTGAAAACTTATGGGACGACACTGTTTTGAGAATATGAACAGAACTTCATTGTTGCATAAGAAATACATATAAGCATTTGCAGTGTGCTAAAACTGTATGTACCTATTTACCTAAGTAAATTTTCAGATTCTTTTAGCAATGGCAAAGTAGGGTTATTTAGTTTACGGATTCAAATAAATCAAATGTCAATTTTTAATATCATACGTATTAGACATCATATTTTTACATGACATGATTAAATATCGAGGTAAAAAACACAGAAATGGGTCAATTTGAATCAGTCATTATACCATCCAGGCATTAGAAAACTTGAAAAAAGCCCACACTACTTTGATACTTTATTACAATCAGACAAGAACTACTAGGGATATTTTCAAATAACTGCATCTGATGGGCATCCACCCTTCTTAATGTCGCTGTTTAGGTTGAAGAAATTAAGTAACTGTGATTAGCGAGGCTGACCACCCTTTTCACTATCTCTAGCGTCTGGCTCGAACAAATAAGGCCTAACGACACCAAGTGATTTTGACAGAATCATCTATGAAGACAAGTTGTAACTCGGAAACTCGGCAAAGCAGGAGACAACATTAAATGACAGTAGATTGTGAGAACATATAGCTTTCATTTTTCACAACAGTTGTCACGATTTCAGGTTTCTACAAACCTGCATCGGCCCCCATAGCCATACCTGACATGACGTCACAGAGACTCGCCGCTCCGATTGGTTGACATTTCGTTCGCGGGTGAGAATTGTACACTGTTGTCAAAAAGGTCGATGTATATTAATTAAAGATCGAAATGAGTAGTTTTAATGACGGGGTTTCATTTATAACGATGCCAATTAGTGATTTATGTATTTGCACCCCCTAGAGTATATGTGATCTTTAATAGAAACAATGTTTGACAATAAATGACACTGCCACCAAACAAGAGAGCGAACTCTGTTAGAACCGAACACCAAATTATTCATATTAATCTCCCTTGGGGGTGAGAGTTTGGGTGGGGACTTCGGATTCAGTGTCTTTATGTGTAATTTGGGTTCAGATTTAGAAGGAACAGCAAGTAACGTTTTTCGGTAAAGCCATTCGAACATTTATCGTTATTGTCATTCCTTGTAAGACATGACTGTACGGGGACTTGGCCGCTAAATTGCTCAGAATTGCAAGGAAAGTTATACTTTGTAAAGCCATTATATCTGAGCATTATACCTGATTGGGGCATTTTATAACGAAGTTGTTGATTTCATTCTGAGTTTTTATGACTACAATGGCACAGTCAATACAGAACTGACGTGTTTAGCCATTCTAATAACGCACATTCCACAGATATGTGTCCAACTACATTAATTCTGAAACCTTTAGACAGAAAATTTCGTTTTTCCCCGACAACAAATTGCGTGTTGGGACAAGTTGATTGAAAAGTATTTTTTTTCCAAATTCAATTTGTGTATTCTCCTTTTGCGTGAGAGGGGCAGTGACCGCGTTGTGGATATTGCACGTCCTTGACATCCAAGTGAGAGTCCTGTTTGTTACTGGACTGAACTGAACTTTTACTTCAACTCAGGCCGCAGACAGCGGCATATGAGGTTACATATGTGTTAAATTAAATATATCCATATAGTTATATACAATATAATGAATACAGATGAATAAATAATACATGATATATATATGCAAATGGATTGCATAAAGATACAAGTGAATATATAATTCATATACATGTAGAAATATTTAGATGGAGTACTGCGTGGACGAATTTGCGTGGTTCTTGTGGACCTCTTTTGGGTCATTCTGGAGCCTCTTTACATGCTCCGTGCATGTGGTCCACGTATTGCATAAAGATACAAGTGAATATGTAATTCATATACATGTAGAAATATTTAGATAGAAAGCCGAAAAGCTATGAAATCAGAGGGGTACACAAAGTCCGCAGTCTAGACTACCAGTTGTCCGACATCCATCCTTGTGGAAGCCGCGGTGGCTGAGCGGTCTAGGCGTCTGACTTCGTGTGCTGGCGATTAGGTACCCTCCTCTGAGGGTGTGGGTTCGAATCCCGGATGGGACTCAACCACCCAAAAAGTACTAGAATCTGTACTTTACTGAGAAGGTGTAATCGCAAATATAACATATGTTACATTTCACCACTTTCTAAAATGGCATTGTGTATTTTCATAGCTTTCGGCCGCGGGAGCCGTGCCAATTAACGCTTATCAGAGGGGTACACAAAGTCCGCAGTCTAGACAACCAGCTGTCCGACTTCCATTTCTGTGGAAGCCGCGGTGGCTGAGCGGTCTTGGCGTCTGACTTCGTGTGCTGGCGATTAGGTGCCTGACTCTGAGGGTGTGGAATCGAATCCCGGAAGGGACTCAACCCCCCCAAAAGTACTAGAATCTGTACTTTACTGAGAAGGTGTAATCGCAAATATAACATATGATAAATAATACTGATAAACATTCTGTAATAAGGAAGTAGACATTGCCAACAGCTGGTACCTGAAGTTAATTAGTTGTGGGAATTATGAACCAGGTGAATATACGCTGATAGATCTATGAACTAGGTGAATATACGCTGATAGATCTATGAACTAGGTGAGGATAGGCTGTTGTAACTGTGAACTAGGTAAGTATAGGCTGCTGGAGCTGTGAACGAGGTTAATGTGGACTGCTGGAGCTGTGAACTAGGTGAATGTGGACTGCTGGAGCTGCGAACGAGGTGAATGTGGACTGCTGGATCTGCCAACGAGGTGAATGTGGACTGCTGCATATGCGAACGAGGTGAATGTGGACTGTTGGATCTGCCAACGAGGTGAATGTGGACTGCTGGATCTGTGAACTAGGTGAATGTGGACAACTGGATCTGTGAATGAGGTGAATGTGGACTGCTGGATCTGTGAATGAGGTGAATGTGAACGGCTGGATCTGTGAATGAGGTGAATGTGGACTGCTGGATCTGTGAACAAGGTGAATGTGGACTGCTGGATCTGTGAATGAGGTGAATGTGGACAACTGGAG